TATTATATATATTAAATATATTAGTATCCTATAGTAATACTACTTATTAAGATACTTATATATTTTTAAATAATTTAGCTCTATTTATTCTATTATAAATCTTATTAGTATAGAATAAGAGGTGAGTCTCTACTCTCTATTATTATATAATATAATTATAATAAGGTAGGTATAAAGATTAAGTTAAAGAGCTTATTATATTATAGAGAACTATATATTTCTAAGCTAATTATCTATAAATCCTCTCTTAAGAGATATATAAAAGTTATATACTCTAGTCTTATTAAGAGTAATCTTTTTAAGACCTCTATCTTTAGTATTCTAGTAAGAGAATAAATTATTTATAATAATATAATTATTTTTATTAAAATTCTCTAGGAAATCTATATCTAAGTTAGATAGAAGCTCTTTAATCTATTTATAAATAATAATACTTAGATTAAAAGTAATACTTTATACTATAGATATCTAAAAGACTTCTTTATACTTATTAGTACCTAAATTAATTATTTTTAGAGCTTTAATATCTATAAACTAAGTATATAATCTAGCTTTATCTTATAGTATTATATATTTATTACTAAGCTTAATGCATTACTATATATACTCTTTAAGTATATCTAGTAGTAGATTTATCTTTAACTTTAAATCTATTCTAATAACTTAAAGATATTTTATATATATCTTAAGCTTTATTATAGCTTTTACTTTTACTAAGAATATAACTACTAAATTCTATATTAATTTATAAGAAGATATATAAAGAATTATTATTACTAATAGATTTAAAGAGATTTTATAAGTATATTTATCTTACTTTCTTTAAGTTTTTTTAGTAATCTAGTTTTTAGCTTTCTTTAATTATTACTATAAAGCTTCTCTTCCTAAGTTCTTATCTTTATTAGATATTAAACCTTTATCTATATTAGATATAGCTTTATTATATAATTTTCCTAAGTATATCTTTTTCTTTACTTTTAATTCTATTAATATATCTATTAACTCTTTATTATCTAGGACCTGTAGAGCTTCTTTAATTAGTATAAGAACTTTATTAAACTATCTAAGTACTATTAATCTAGTTAGAGGCTATAGCTTTAACTCCTTATCCTTATCTAAAGATATTAAAAGACTAAACTAGTTAAGCTTCCCTCTAATTTTATTAAGCTTATTTTTAGTAAGCTTACCCTCTTTCTAAGATTTTATTTTTATAAACTAAATATCTTATAAAGTTATATATATATAGCTTTTTAGCCCTCTTCTCTTATTTATTATCTAATTTAGAGCATACTAATTTGCTCTCTTAGCTACTATTTTAAAATTAATTATCTTTATTATTATTACTAAGTCCCTTACATAGTGATAACTATAGCTAATTCTTAATAGATAATTTATAATATTATTATCTTATTTTTTTTAGATTTAAACCTAATACCCTACTATTCTTTCTATAGTTTCTACTACTATTTTTATAATATCCTCTACTTCTTTCTATAATACTTTATCTTTCTTTTTCTATTTACTAAATCTATTAATCTTTCTAATAGCTTCCTAGATAATATATATCTAGGTATTCTAGACTTTTTATTATAATAGTATTCCTTCTCTAATTTTTTTATAAACTATATACCTCTCTTTATCTATCTTATATAGCTATAGTTTTTAATTAAGTTCCTCTAATATATTATTAGCTTCTTTTATCTAAGTTTTAATATATACCTAGCTTATTATTATAATATCTCTTAGGGCTAACTAAGCTTTTACCTCTATAGAGATAATAGATACTTYTATATCTATATCTATAGTATTATCTAAATTCTACTTATTTTTCTTTACTTTCTTTATAGCCAGAGCCACTCCCTACTTATAGGGATTCTTTAAGGTTTTATTTATAGTAGATAGTAGCTAAATAACTTTATTAAGAATAGGATAATTTTAAGAAAGAGAATTAATAAAATTAAGGACTTTAGATAAAACTAGAAAATAAGAAATTTATAAGGTAGTAGTTATTATATTACTTATAGGTAAATAATAAATTATATAATCCTTTAGACTATAAAAATAATATAATTAGCTAGATATTAATTAGTTAGATCTAGATTAGAGAAGATARAAATATAAGTTTAAAATATCTCTCCCCCCCCTAATTTATAGTTAATACTCTCATTATCATAAGTATTAATTATAAATTAATTAAACTTAATATAAGGGAAAGATGAAAGAAATAGAAAGTAAAAGATAAGAAAGAATAAAAGAAAAGTAAGATTACTAAGCTACTTAAGTTAATTAATAAATTAATAAAAAGATTAAAGACTAATAAAGAAATAGTAAAATCTTATTCTCTAACTTTAGATACCTTAAATAAAGTATTTTATACTTATAGATTATAGTAAAGAAATATAAAATAGCTAGTAAAGTTAGTTTAATTATAGTAAAGAGATAATTACTATAAATAGTAAATTATTAGAAATAAGATCTTTATTATAGATTATTAGCTAAGTTAAATCTCTTTAAGTTATATCTATATATAGAGGTATAAAGGTAGAATCTATCTTATCTAAAACTTTAGCTATTCTTAAGATTACCTTATTAGGTTAATTTAAGGTAAAGAACTACTTTAACTAATTACTATAAACTATTATTTAGAATATAGTATTATTAAGTTCTTTTAGTAAGTATAAATTATTTATAAGAACCTAATAAATATAATATAGTCCTAACTATCTAAATATTATCTTATTAAAATATAAAGTTTCTAGCTTACTATTATAAAGTAGAATAAGATTATCTTCTTATAATACTTCTCTTTAGAGGTAATTTTAGTTATTAAATACTTTACCTCCTTCTTCTCTCTTTTACTAGACTCTTATAATAGCTTTAGTAGTATTCTTATCTCTTTATTTAATCTACCTTACTCTTATTATAACCAGATCTCTAGTATCCTGAATCTTATTCTAGGGTAGTATCTACTATATTAGAACTTCTAATTCTACTAGTAGAACAGCCTCCTGTCCTATAAGCATCCTAAAGGGTGTCATTCCTGTTATATCTCTTATAGTATTATAATTAGCCTAGAGGACTACAGGGAGGTGTCATCACCACTAGATACCAGTTCCAGCAGTCAACATCCTTAGGGCTTTGATAATCAGCTTATGCCCGACTTCAACACTTGACTGTGAATCAAGAGATTGCAGGTTCAAGCCCTGTGTAGGTCACCAAATGTACAAGGGATATTGCATAGCACTCCAAAGAGTAGGTCAAGCTTCATTACAATTAGGAGTCATAAGCCAGGTTGTGTCCAGGTTAGATATAAGTTTAACTAGATAGAAGAGATATTATAATAGAAAATAATTTATTTATTCCTTAATTAGCAATCATAATCTTCCCTTAAGAATAATATAGTAGGAAGAAGATCCCTCCACCTTTAGTAATGATGTTATTATCATCCCAGTCATCTACCTTAAGGGTTATGCCCTGAGATAGGCATGAGTAATCAGCTAAAACTAACACTATCTTTCTCTGCTACACTAGCTTCTTCCCTTTCTATACTTTTATAATATTTATAGATAATATATTAAACTTTATATACATCTGAGATCTCTTCCTAAATAAGAATCTACATAATATTATTAAATATAGTGATTTTCTTATTATAGTAACTATTAAGGTAAGATATAAGAAATATCTTCTATATCTTACTAAAATTATAGAGTAAGAATTAGATTTTAATAGATTTAAAAAGCTACTTACCTTTCTTAAGGCTATAATTAAATTTATTAAGAGCTTAAGATAGTTTTAATATATAATCTTAGACTTTATTATAGCTATTATATATTATATTTATAGCTATCTATAGCCCCTTAAAGGACTATATATCTGCTATTATATTATATTTATTATTAAGATAGTCCTAAATAACTTTAGATAATTCTAAATTAATTACTTTATATCTAATAGTATAAGATAAGATAGAATATATAGCTCTATAAATTTTATTATCTATCTTCTTCTAATCTTAAATAATCTTTTTAATTCTCTCTTACTACTTAGTAAGCTTAACTTTATCTAATAATTTAGTTTAATAGCCTACTTCTAGCAGCTCTAGCTTCTTATAAGTTTTATTTATAGTCTACTAAATACCCTAGCTATATAGGTATATTTTTATAGCTTTAGACTATATTTAATAGAAATCTATATCTATAAGTAATAATAACTTATAGAGATCTACTTAAGATATCTTAAAGAAAGATTTTAATAAAAAAAATAAGGTTTTAGATATATCCCTTAAGGGAATAAGGTTTTAGATATATCTAAGGATAACTACTAGGCTTCTATATCTATAAGGATTCTTAAATATAAGAACCTTTTATAGGGCCCTATTAATAAAGGTAATAAAAGGATAGTTTCTATCTTAGGTAGAATATCTAGCCTAGATAAATATTTTAGGTAGAATATCTGCTAAAAAAGGCTTTTAAAAATAAAAAGTAGTAAAATAATTTAAGAAAAGAACTTAGGAATAATTCCTTAGAGCTCTTTAAGAGGCTCTAGGCTTATAATCTATAGAATAAGTAGAGAGAGGTTTAGAATATAAAGATATTTTATTAATTTATTATATATATAAATCTATATTTACTATTATATAGTGGAAGGAGCTATCTACTGAGTGAGATCATATGATTGGATCTCCGCCATACTGAGTATGGCCACACTATGAATGGGTCTTGGACAAGACAATGAGAATATATCTATATACCTCCACTCTTGTCTTGCCGCCTGGCACTCTGAGTGTCTTGTGTGCATTGTCACCTATTATTAGCACACATGTCCTCAACCAGGCAGGCACATGGCCTGGCCTATGATACAGCGATTGGAGCGTGCGTCATTAAACATAATTATATTTATATATCTATGTGAAAGATAGCGCGCGCTTATACGCGTGGGGGGTCGTCCACAACACTCGGAGAATTTCGCTCAATGTTCGCGTTGGGTCCTGCGATGGTATGAAGGACCCTGAATCCTCAACGTGTCCACCAGTGGAAGCAGTCGGCGAAGAAAGTGAAGGGGTAGATTCCGATGGAGACGACCACATGACCAGCCAACTCAGGACGCATATCTCTGCCAGCGACTGCGTTGAAGGAAGGAGTCACGATATTTCTGTTGGCGACCTCCTCGAGCGTTCCCATGAGACAGGAACGGCAGGCTCTGAAGAAGGGTGTAGGTTTAGCTCTGACAACACTGCCTTCGAAAACCAAGAACAATCCGCTGAGGCTTCTGTGGGCACCCCAGGTTCGGGCATGGCTGTCTCTTATCCTACTCCTGATTCAAAAGCGCCAAATACGCCGATGCCCGCAAGCAAAAGAGTTAAGAGGTTTGAAGAAATGACATCAGGCGGAACTCTTCTTCCAAGTCCTTTGCAGACCCCTGATCCCGCTAGCCGCTCATCCGATCGAACTGCCAATAATTGCGAAAGTGGACAGTCACCGGCAATTCAGCCACCTGTTGAAGACGCCCCTGATGACACCGAGCATGAAGGCACTGAAAATGAATTTACCGGCGACGATGTCTTCGCGGATTTAGAGATACAGTCCGTCGTAAATGCGGCGCACAGGTTCCTGCAGGGCGTGTCTTCACCTGAAACGATCTTCGAAGATCCGGAAGGAGCAACCGAAGCATCGTCCCAAAATAACGATGTTACCCCTGAAAATGTACTTGGTACGTTCAGTGGAAGCCCCGCCAGTGCGTCTATTTCATCTAGTTCTATCAGCTTTGATGAAGTTGAACCAGTGACGTCTCATGAGGATGTTGGAAATTTAGAAGATGACTATAGCAACAGCCGCAAACGAAAGCTTGACGTTGCCTCTCTCGAAGCACATGATGGCCCAACACCCAGCACTATGAGTTCTTTATCAGACGCTCTGTCTGATGGTGCCCGCTCTGAATCAGCAGCCTCGTCTTCCTCGCCCGCCGAAGAAGACGAAGACGAAGACGACATGGACAACCAGGATTTGGCGCGTCCTGACTCGAGGCAAGCAAGCCCGTTTTCTGAGCATTTAACCGAGAAAATGGATGAAATTGTGGCCTGCGAGCCTGATATTCCGGGTTCAGTATTTTCAAAGCTCACCTGGCAGCAAGTGGGTGAAGTCCGGCGCATAGGCGATCATCTTCTTTTGCGCAACCTCGCTTGCTTTTTGGGAACTTATTCTAGGGCTTGGAAGGCCGCTGGTTTCTGGAGCGCCTCCTCCTGGAACACTACGCAATCATCAAGTATTGTCTCACGACCAAATCGTGCTGGCCTCATGACCTATTTGATGGGTTTACACAACGATAATGCCATACACGATGTGAAGGTGCGGATCGCAAGGGTTTCTCTCTTCCTATTCCTCGAAAGAGAAATTGAATGTGAGCGCAGGCGTGGTACTGAGGACTGCTCTGAAACGCAACGCCGTCAGCAACCTCTGCAACTCGAGCGGCCTAGGATCAGTGGAGAGAAGAAAGCTTCACAAGTCATTCCATAATGAAAAGAAAATCGGTGAGTTTTGGTGGTGGTGTGTCCATTACTTCGGGCCCAGCTTCCTTGTGCGCTGCAGCAAGTAAGCAGGCAAAAAAATGTCAGTATCCGGACTTATCTAATCACCGGCTGACTAACTAGTACCGTACATAGAAATAACGGTTCGCGTTTTCCACTGGATGCCATGATTGCATACGTCCTGCAGGATCGTCCGCTGAGCGTAAAGCCCTACCCTGCTCTTGATGAGGCGGTTGTCCACTTGTTGATAACGGGCGACTTTCCTGAAGAATTTTTGCGACAAGATGTTCAAACGTGGGAACGATCCACGCACGCGGAATCATCTATATTTCGGGTTTGGCGACCGTTCAGTACTGGTGCGGTTGCAAAGGAAGCTCTCGCTTGCCTGGAGAAATGGTCGACGAACCCTGAAAATCGCTTGCTAACTTTCTGACCCTTTGGCAATCCCAACATAATTCTCTTTCCCCGCAGTGTTTGCTTGGCGTAGACTGGTGTCATGTGGACTGTTATCAGGTAGCGACGGTTTAGATAGGCATGGATATGAGCAATTTACCTTGGACGCTGAAACAGTTCTATCCCAAAGCCGAAACAGGACGACTGTAGAGTTTAATCCAGAAGACAGCAACTCGAAGGCATAGGGCACAAGCACCACATTTTGTCTTACACTGCCTATTGTGCTCTTCATGATTTCTCCGGTATGGTGCGAGCTCCTTGCGGCTATGCGATTGGGCAGTATTTTATCGAGGGCAGTGCCTTTGCAAACGGGGAAATGCCGCAGCAGCATAAATACAATGGAACACAAACTGCTGTTTTGTATCCCAAGAAGCAGTGGAAGGAATCAAATCAATATAGTGAATTGTCCGTCTTGCATAGCAAGCTAGCTATATTAGGAGTCAGTCCCCCAATAAGAGCGCAGTGTGCTTCCCGATTCCAACACCCACATCGCTTAGTCACCTGGGCAACCCCGGCACGTGATCATTTCCCACGCGTTGGGTGTCGTATTAAACCCAGCCTTTCCAACACATCAAGTATTGTTCTGCATCTCGACTTGCCAGAGCCCTGTTGCCATGAAACGTGTGTCACGTATGCTTAGGGCCCTTAGAGTCCCCTTCTTCCGGCGACCTCCATCGCCAGCCCGACAGTTTCCTCCTGGCCCCCTTCTCGACCCGATGGACAAAGTGGAGGAGGAAAAACTAGCATGGTATTCCCATGATAATTTTTTTCCTGTTAAGATCGGCGATGTCTTTCAGTCGAAGTATCAAGTGGTTGGAAAACTGGGCTATGGCGGATATTCAACAGTATGGCTTTGCAGAGATTTAGAGTAAGTCCCTCCATACTTGGTTGCGAATCGCTGGGGGGAATGGGGAAATAATAGGCACAGGGAGCACGTTTATGTTACTTTGAAACTATACGAACGTGACTCTACTCATGCAGAACGAGAAATCCAGGTTTACGAATACCTCAAACGTCTCAAATCCTGCCACGCTGGTACTGTTCTCGTGCGAACTGTTTTGGATAAGTTCCAGCTCAGTTCAGCCGATGGCTCCCACTTCTACCAATGCCTCGTTCACCCACCCTTGGGCATGAGTCTCTTTGAGCTTCGAAATCGGTGCCCACGAAGGGTTTTCCCAGAAACCCTACTTAAACCTACTCTCATCCACATTCTCCTTGCGCTAGATTTCTTACACGCCGAGGCGCACGTGGTCCACACTGGTCAGCACCGTCGACGTTATTTGAAATGTTCTATGCTGATGTATAATACAAGATATACAAGAAAAGAACATTATGCTCAATATTGAAGATGACTCGATTCTCGTTGACTTTGAGGAGGCCGAGATATTAAATCCAAGTCCACACAAACTGGTCGGGGATCGAGCAATCTATCATTCTCGAAAGTTGGGTATTCCAAAGAAACATGGACGTCCCGTGCTCTCGGACTTCGGCGAGGCTCGCTTTGGGTCAGAGTCAGGCACATATTGCGATGATGTACAGCCATTTATGTATCGGGCCCCGGAGGTACTACTTCGCATGCCCTGGAATGAAAAGATCGACATTTGGAACCTTGCAGTCGTGGTATGTTTATCAATGTCGCATCTATTTATTTATTATTCGACTAAACACGCTTTATGCAGGCCTGGGACCTATTCGAGCAAGGCCATCTTTTCTATGCTCAGGATGAAGACAAACATGACTCGGATAGTCACCATCTTGCTGAAATGATTGCGTATTTGGGGCCACCACCACGTGAGATGCTCGAGAAAAGTGAATATGCAAATAAGTTTTTTGATAGTAGCGGTAAGGCTCACCAAGTTCTCGTCTCCTTTTTCTCAGTCCGTGTTTCTGACCCGTGGAAAATAGGAAAATGGAAGTGCTCTGCTGAAATTCCTCTTACGTCTTTAGAGGCCATTGAAAGCAACTTACAGGGCGAGCAGCAAGAGAATTTTCTCCGCTTCATACGGAAAATGCTGCAGTGGCGACCAGAAGATCGACCTACAGCGAAAGAGCTATTATCTGACCCTTGGTTAAGGTCTACATAGTTTGAAATTGCCACAACGCGAGAGTTCATGCAACTATGACTAAAATTCACTGGATCTTAGATGGATTCATCATGCTGAGCAGTTCACTCTTGGTCCTTCGTGTTACCAACAACCTGATCCTGAGAAAGACGGAGATCGATCACTTGGTTCAGAACGCTACACAGACGGTCCCTGCAAAGCTTGTGGCATTCTGTAGCCTAGTTCACCTTCCGCACTGAGCCGTCTTGGTGGATATGGATTCGTTGTATAGTTTTAACTTCGCCATTTTTGAGACGAACTGATATCACCTCTTTCTCATCAGTCGGATCATCATGAGAAAGGTGTGGCTGAGAACCTCTGCAAGCCATAGATTAGGCTCTAGAATTTCCAAGGTAAACAATATTTTGGGATGGTTTACCTAATCTCGGCGAACTTGAAATCCGGATTCTGTGACATCCGTCAGTAGAAATAGTGGGATTTTGTATCAAGCGCTCACATACCGCTTGTTCTTGATTCAAGAGAACTGAATCAACAGGGTTTTGCCACGCGGCTGGAAGGTCAGACAATTTGACCTTACCAATAAATTGATATAGACGCTGTTTCGTTTGTTTAAACATCACGAGAAGAACGAGCTAAGTTGGCGTGTGAACATGCAGAAGCTGAATATAAGAAAGTAAAGTATCATTTTGGACAGAGCATGGTGCCAGGAATTTATATCCAGTGAAACCAACCCGGAAGCAAATTGCTACGGGATGAGGTGTCGAGCGTGACACATCCAGCTGAGATGGGCGCCTATGCAACACCCAATCAGTCCATTCAGCCTGGAAAGCTTCAAGCATCGCGTTGGTGCTAGGTGGTGGTCAAATGCGGCATTTAGATCAAAGGAGGGGGCAGAACTGTGTGGGTTTGCGAAGCCTAGGCGCCACAAATGGGCGTGACAAAAGCGCCAAATCAGGCACTCTGGTTGGCCCAACCTGGACTGCGATTAAGTTTCATCTAGCAAACAACTAATTCTACACAGCAAAGTGCGCTCAATCAAGTTATCTTCCTCTTCATTTATCCCTGTGATGATTAGTCGCAAGGTCTGCTCTAAAGCTGAAGTTTTGGCTTGTTGGTTAAGATCAAAGCGGGCGATACAATGTCTGGCCGTTGTGACACAGGCTCAACAAAGCACACACCTCTTTTCCTTCCACTTCAGGTGCATTGAAGGTGATCGATAATAATTTAGAGAATTTTCGTCATACTTGTAGAACGAAACCCACCTATTTATAGCAACCTAACGGATAGGCTGTGACTGGCGACGAGTTATTTGCTATGTAGTAGGTTTCTGTCAGGACTGGCCCTGCTAAATGGTAATTTTGCAAACGAAAAAGCTTGTCCCGGAGAAGACGGCTGAGATGGAATGGCGCAAGTTTGGTCCAAGGCCTGGACAGTTCCGACTAACCATCAAATGCTCCCTAGCTGGAAACAGATGGCAGCCCAAGACATAAGTTGCTGGAAGATGAGCCATTACGAAAGATCAGAGTCGTCTGTAAGACAGTCCTGCAAGAACTGCGTGCTTACCGCAACCGAATTCGGATCATTTTCTCGCGCCTTTCTGAACATTGGGTGCTAGCGAGGGTTATATGAAGAGTGTGGTGAGATAGTTGGTTAATAAACAGAACATGGAATGATCGGTTGAGGTCCAACCAGGCAATGGACTGCTGCACAGTTTCTTGTTCTGGTGAGTCTCCAGGAGAAGCAGGGGGGTTTAGAAGCTCGGCTACCCCGACCTTTCGAGCGAGTACCCTCATACTCTTCATTAAGTAGGCGGTGAAACGTTAAAAAGCAAGTTACCATGGGCAAATGGGCGTGGTTTCCGGCGCCCCGCTTGCCGTTGTGTAGAATACTATAGTATTATTTATTCATATTAATATTAAATCCTTATTGCGGAGCGAAACGAAGCATGTCTTATTGCATACCCTTTCAGCTTTCTGTCTTGGCGCTCAATCTGATTGGTCTAAAAAAAGGGATTCTGGTCTTCTAATTAGTCTACTTTCTAGCCTTCTAATTAGCTCTTGAAACTTAATATCACATGCCCTCTAAGCTCCCACCTATATCAGGGGGCGTGGGGGGCAGCGCCCCCCAGATCTTAATTACTATAATTCATGTTATCCTAGAGTCCTAATATAATAAAAGGGGGGGTCTGGGGGGCCCTGCCCCCCAGGTAACTATTAATGCCTTTCTCCCTTATAGTTAATTAGTTATGCCCCTTACTATAGAGTAGACTGAGTAGTCACTATTAATAGTTGCCATGGCTTTACTGCTTGCTCCGCAGGCCTTAGGTGGTCACACCACCAGACCACCTACACCTTGTATATTAAGGTTATACCCACTATGGATACTACACATTCATAATATATATATCCTAGTACAGTAGTATCTAATGTACTACTATATAAGTATTTAATATCCCTACTAGGTGATGATTTGATATTAAATACTATGGTATTAATATCCACTGGCTTCCAGCCAACAGAATCTACCTCGTCCAAGGAACCGTCCGAGAAACCGCCCACCGAGAGGATGCTTTTGTTGACTAGTCAAAAACAACACTGAACCCCTTGAGCCGGATGACCGGAAGAAAGTTGTCTCCACACCAGCATTGGGGATGGGGTTTAGTTCCGCAATAGGATTGGGGAAAGTGAGGCTAATGATGAGGGCATTCTCTTCTTTTACTGGGTTGTTTTACTTATGTGTATTCCAAAGGGGGATCGTGTTTATGTTTCTTGCAGTATATACTAGTGCTAACAAGGAAGGTGCTGTATGACAAGAAATGCGCAAGGTCATGTCTTCAATTGTCCCCGCAAAATGCTAGTGAGTAGATGGCATCAAAAACCAACAATCGAACCGTACATCCACCCACACTCCAATGAGGTAGATTCTATATCATCTACTTAAACTATCATCCACATTGCCGACCCAACAGCAAACGCACCCACCAGCCAGTTCAACCCTCCCCTGTAAGCCGCAGAAGTAGACTTACTGTCCAAAATCTGGCTCGTCTCATACGTCCGAGGCGTCTTGCTATCCACCGTCCCATTCCAGCAGTACAACTTGAAGCAACTGTTACACACCTCCGGCATGGACATGTTAGTCCGGTGCATCGACCGCTGCAGGATCGCACACCCCACACAGCTCGGCCAGGACTTGTCGACGGTTGCATTTCCCCGCGTCACCACGTTATACCCGTTCGTGATGATCTCATCGCGCTGGGTATCAGAGTACGACAGCTGGAAGGTGGAAGTATTGCTCTGCGCGCTGTACGGCGCATTCGGCAAGTAGACCACCAAGGGCGCCGGTGCGGATAGATTCGCCGGATCGCAGCCGAAGAAGGTCGGTCTGGTATTTAGGCCTAGGTTGACAAATGTGTTGACGTCCGGCACAGCGGGGAAGACCGTCCCGTTGCCGATTCCCGAGCTGTTCAGGCTTCGCTCGTAGGTAGCGACTAGCGAGGACCCGTTCGGCCAGCTGTAGACCGTGTCGGCTGAGGAGTCGACCGCGAAGATCACGTCGACGTGGCGGGTGGGCTGGATGAGTGGGTGTAGGGGGATATTCTGGCCGTCCTCGCCGCCGTCGACGACATCCAGCTCGCGGCTGTGCGAGTAGGACGCGGTCGAATTGCGATACCCGTAGAACGGGTTAGGGGCGTAGATGGCGATGTCGTCGCCGTCCTGGCCCAATGAGGCGAGGATCTTGGAGAAGGCGTTCTTGACCAGGCCCGGGAGATCGGTGGTGTTGAGCCGCAGGATGAACTGGTTGAACAGCGAGGAGGAGGTGCCCATGACGAAGCCTGCATTATCAAACCCGCGGACGCAGGATTCGCTGCTAGGGAGCTGGCCGTTGTCGAAGCGGGAGCCGAGATACTCGAGCGGTGCGAAGCCGAAGATGGACGGGTCGAACGAGCCAAACTCCCACGGGTTGAACTCATAGACGGTCGAGTTGCTGCCGATCAGCAGCTCTCCTGGGTTGCGGCCGTCTGCCACCAGGATGGGGAGCGGCATCTCTCCGCGCTGGAAGGCGTCGGTCAACGCGATGGACGACCAGGTGTAGTTTGGCCCGCCGTTCCCGGTCGGATCGTTGATGAACTGGTAGGACAGGGCGCGACCCCAGTAGTCCGTTAGCGAGGTGTTGAAGCCCGCATTGCTTTTGCCGTCGACTGCTGTGAGCAAGTTCTTCCAGTAGTCGGCTGTGGATAGGAACTGCAGGTGTCTGGCCTTGGGGCCTTCGAGGATAGACGTGGAAAACTGCCATACATCGCCATTGCCTCCGGATTGGAGGTCTGAGATGGTCGTAAAGTTGTTCACATACACCGAGCCCACGAGCCATCCTCCTCCGCTCAGTCCGGATACATACGTTGCTGACTGTAGTAGACCTCCGAGCTGTCCAGACTCCGTTGAGTCTTTTGTTCGGTTGTCAAAAGCTTTTATAGCTCCAGCTCCATTGGTCAGAGCCCGGTATCCGCCCCCGGAGACAGCGATCGCGATATTAGGCAGGTTAGATGCGTTACTGGACACGCGGTCGATGTAGCTCGCTGCGTCAAAGGAGGTGAGATTGAGGCGCCCAAGCAGGTCCTTCATGGGCTGGACGGTGTTGTTGCGACGAATCTCGAGCCAGGAGGTTTCATTCGGAGAAAGCGACCCTGCACCGCGAATGCTGGGTCGTGTCGCTGGACAGGAGACATTCGCCGGAGTATAGCCATCGGGAGCATTTGGGAGGGCTCGGATAGACAGGTCGAGGGGAGTTGCCGTGGTCACGGCCAGGGCCGTTAGAAGGGTGAAAATGGCCTTCATGTCGATGCCTTGACTATTTGGAAGACGAGAACATTGATACCTAAAATTGACGTAGTAGATATACTCGGTTCTTGGGCTCAGGACATACTTCCGGGACAGCCGTCAAGCATCATCGACCCATCTCCAAAGGGCCCTTCTCCACGAATCGGATGGCTGCAGAGAACCGAACAGTGGAACTTCCAGAAGAACTGCCAATCATTCAGGGCTCGGCGTCGCCCGGAATGTGGGCCATGTATGGCTGATTTCCAGAGTATTTGTTGTTGTTGTCAGAGCTGGCATTAGGCAATAACATTTTCCATTTGCCGTTTCGGGTGATTTATGTGCATTGTCTAGGCAGCGCTATTCAACTGGATTGTTTCAACTGCATTTGGTCGGCACTTTTGTTTCCACACTGCAGAACTAGGAGCCAGTTATAGAATGTATCTGAATCTTGGATTCTCCACTTCATGGTCCCTCTCCTCCTCCGGCCTCTTGTTCATCCTCGCATGCACCATCCGAATCACCCACGCCAGCACTGCCACCAGAACCGCAACCACGGCTGTCGCACTGCCCCCGGGAACATATCTCGGTCCAGACGATGAAGGCCACATATAACTGCCATAAATTGTCGCCGTGTTTCCGATCATATTGGCCGTCGCTATAGCCGCGGAGCGCTTGACCAGCGGACGGGGGAAGGAATTGGCCACCCAGGCTATGATGATTTGGTACGCTGACACAGCGCCCATGGGCGTCCTGCCGTTGTCAGTATGTCGTTTGGTTCGTCAGGCGTAAGCAGCTTACAGAAACATGGCAAAGAACCTGGCACCGATGTTGGTCGTGGCTGTGCAGATGATACAACCCACTGCACTCGCGCTCATCAACCCCATGATATGCCAGCTGCGATCGTTGGTCCGTCCAGACGTCCAGGTCACCAACAGAGAGACAAGGAACGTGGCGATCCACACGGGCGCAGTGATCAGCAGAGTCTCGATGCTCCCGTAGCCCAGTGTCTTGACAATCGTTGGGAAGAAGTACTGGAAGGTCTGCGAGAGAAGTGAGCTATGCTGTAGTAGAATAAAAAGGTAGATTCGTCGGTCCCGGAACACCATCGCCAGCGCGTCTTTCATGCTGACAGCGTTTGTATCGTCGGCCTCGCCGGCGTCGTTGATGAGGCGCCACTGAGCATAGGCTTGTTCGGTCTCGTCCAGCCAGGGGGTGGTCGCCGGGTAGTTGGGAAGAAAGACAGTCGAGAAGAGTGATATGCCGACTGTGATGCTGCCCTCGATGATAAACAGCCATCTCCAGCCCGCGATTCCGTGTACCCCGTCCAGATTGCCCAGTACGCCGGCGCCTATGAGGCCGCCAAACGCGTTGGCCAGGGAGCTGCCGGCGTAAAACCAGGCAATTCGATGGCTCAACTAGTTGGATTAGTGCTCTTTTTCTTTTTGGATGGCAGAACTGCAGTCACACCTCCTGCCTTGTATACCAACTCGACCTACAAAATCAGCTACATGCATAATAGGCTTGAGGTGTATACACACATCAACATGATCGCCCCCGGGAAGAACGGTGCCTCCACAAATCCTAGGAAGAACCTCGCAAGAACCAACCCGGTAAAGGAGGTCGCTGCCGCCTGACATGCGGATATAATACCCCTGACTGGTCAGACCGAACCGACGAACCAAGAGGGAGCCTACCAGATCGCCATCGCTCCACCCAGCAGCCACGACGGCTTCACGCGCGTCAGCAGCAGGTTAGACGGGAGCTGCATGAGCAGGTATCCGACGAACAGAATACTCGTCGCCAAGTTGAAGTCAGTCCCTGTCATCCCCAGGTCTTTTTCCAATGAACCCAGCCGGGCTTGTGAGAGATTACTTCAGAAACAGTCAGCTTGATTTCACGTCGATGCAAGGAAACATACTTTCGATCCAGGAAATTCAGCAGATACATCACCACCAGGACGGGCAGGAGATGCAGATCCACCTTTCGGAGTAAGCGTCGGGTCATCTGCTGGTGCCATTCGGGGCCCTTGGAGGCGTAGGCCTCGTACAGGGCGTCCGAGGCATTCTCCAATTTCGCCTGCGTAAATTCTATCTGTTTGGTTGGTGATTTTGATATATTATCTGTTGTGTGGGTTGCTGATAGCGGTGACCATCCTTGTCTTAAGTAAGACTCCTTAAGAGTATGATAACCCCGGAAGATGTTCGAGATCAACATCACGACCAAATAAGCTGGACAATGCGGGGATGCGGGGCTAGGGTAATGCAGTCTGAGTAGTTTTCCCTTGTACAGTGATCATAGATTCTTGATTAAACCCATAATGTGAGATTGTCCTAGCAATCTATCTCTTTCTGCTGGTAAGGCTCGCCTTGTCTTGGAGTTTGTCCCAAATCTGTACTTGGCTGATGATCTGTGACCATGTCAGAGGACACATGATGGTCCTGAAACCTTGTATATGATGAGCTGATTCTCTATATGGTAATTAAAGCTGGAATAGCAGTTAATACCAGCCTGAAAGCTCCAGTGTAAGGTGACTATCCTGAGACATACGTGTAGGAACTTGATCTCACATGCAAGATCCATTACGGCCATCTATTTAGAAATTGGTGTTTGACAAATGTTCGAACGCGGTCGTGGGCATTTCAACGCGAGACTCACCCTACATCGCCCCATGGAGGAGCCTCGGGAAGATCAAGTAGGTTGTACCATGCAGAATGTATGCAGCCGGGCTATGATATTATACACATTTGCGGTGTTGGATGACAATGGGGGTCGACTCATAGACTGCTTGTTGGAGTGCAGTCTCACATGGCTCCCGAACCCTGGCATCCAAACCTTTTGCCAATTCGAGAAATGGAAAGGGTTCAGGTTTGAGTATAAGAGATTAGCAGCTATTCTGTGATATTGTCGAGAACTACTTACGTGATTTCTTGACTCTATGACCCTCATTAGATGCGGAGGCTCTTGGGCGAGGAGCAACACACCTGCAGATGATCGAGTTTTGTGTAACTTGTTGCATTTCCCACGGTGGAAGCGTGAGCTGCCTTCGAGGCCCCGGTGGAGCGTATAAAGCTGCCAAACGAGCCACACCTCTGAAGCTGGTCCTACCTAGGTAAAGTATCTCCCCGGGACTCCGTGCCCTTAATAGAATATAGTAAAATATCGAAAGAATTGCACTTGATTCAGAACCTTAGTTTCTCTACCTATACCAGAGCAAAAGCAATTATTATCCATTCACTTCACAGGTATGTTGAATACCTAGCACGCAACAAGATCAACCTATGTAACCCTCAAATGACCCTCAGTCCATTTCCCCTTGTCTTAAAGACAACCTCCTTCAAGCAGAATCGTAAATCCGGTTTAGAAACACCAATGAAAGCTCGACGAACAAACATGGCAATCACTATATGAGCGACACAAAGCGTGGGTATGACAGCGCGGGTGAGAGCAAGAAGCAGCCGCATTATCGCCCCTAGGAAGAACATCGGCCTCACCGTCCAGGTTGTCGGCATGAAACTTTCTCGCTGATTCCATGGAGGCGTCTAATTCCTCACATAGGGAATCAGACGTAACGGCCAGCACAGTGCCATCGTGGTCGAGCAGGTAGTAGCCGCCGTTCCTATCGTCCACGGTCCCATTGGGATATTGGTCTGCCATGTCGTTTAGTTGTTTGCGGGTTTCGAGGACAGGGATTCCCTCCGGGACAGGCTCGGTGTATCTGGTTGTAGCCATGGCGAGACTGCTGGCGGCGAGAAGGGAGAGAATGCTAATGATGTTGATTCTCATGGCTGATCTGAGTCAATGTGAATTTTAAAGATGAGGATTTCGAAGTAGGTTGTTTCACTAGATTGAGGAATCGCAAGTAATTCAGGACAATGGAAATCTGGTAATGCGAGGGATTTCTACTCTCGCTCCCGTGGCCTTTATAGCCAGAGAATACCCTGATCAGGCCACCCATCTATGTCGTATCCAAATGAGCGATCACCGTAGAAGTGAGTCAAAAACCAACAGAAGCAGGGTACAGCATCCAATCCAAGGGTTGAATACTGGTAGTTCATTTATGGACGGCTCCCTGCGGAGAATCTAAGCAGGGTCAAGTTCACTAGATTTGCCAATATCCAACAAAGACTTGCCAATATCCAACAAGAAAAGTAGTAGCGTCTGAAGGACCACAATCGGACAGGGATGTCCAAGCAAAGATCTTACATTGGACAATAAGACCAGGTTTAAGCTAGTTGCCTGGACACCGTCTCAGAATTCTTCACCTCGGATGTAACCTCATTATCAATAATTACCTCAGACTGCATATAACAGTATGCAGTGATGCATTGTTCCTGAAAGCACATGGTCATAATCCTAGGTGAGGCTCTGGTCGTTTAGATTATTTTTTCGTACATTAAGACATGCTATTATGTCAATGCCTGTGTTATCTGCACTTCCTATCTGGTATGTATACAGTCATCCGCAAGGTTATCTATTTGCATTCGTGTTTCTCATCTTCTTGGGAGAGACTATTTATCAAAAAAGGGTTTGAATAACGTATCTCGTGGAGTCAATCTAACTGTAGTACTTGAGCATTAGCTAACTGAATACTGCGACGACACTGGTGTACACGATTCCTCTCCTCGATCCTCCAGCATATAAAGAGTATGTAGCTTCATTTATTTATTGAAGAGGAGGAACTGTAACAGACGAAAAGAAAAATATGTATTGCCATATATATCCACTACTAAAAAATGTGTTGCGTCGGACATTCGCTTCAGCAAATCAAGACATGGTAGCAGTCGGGTAGGATATCAAGTCTAGAGGAGGAAAATTATGTACACAGAGAGAATCGGATAACAGTATAAGAGTTCCGGGGTAATTCCGCAAAGTAATCAAACAACACCAACTAGGTAGACAGTGTGCAGGGCAGAAGACTCGGAACAACAGCAGCAAAGGTGACCGATAAGGTAGTAATGGTCGTCACATTGCGAACAACAATCTATTGGTATAAACCCCCAAACAAACAAGTATAGACA